ATAAGGACTGCTCCTGTGACTGCTGCCCAGCAAGCACTGGGGTATTTCAGCTGAAGTTTGGAAGAAAAAGTTTGCTGGTAGGTTCAGAGAAACTTTCAGCTTAGAGCATTCATTGTTTCAATATGTGATGAAGGCTCCTAGCTTAGATGGTTCTCTTGCTCTCTCTCTCTTTTAAAGGTCTAGACAAGTTAATGGAGATTAGATACATCAATGACTATTAGCAGTAGTAACTAATGAAAAATGGGTACAGTGGTACCTCGCAAGACGAATGCCTCGCAAGACGAAAAACTCGCAAGACGAAAGAGTTTTTCGTTTTTTGAGTTGCTTCGCAAGACGAATTTCCCTATGGGCTTGCTTCGCAAGACGAAAACGTCTTGCAAGTTTGTTTCCTTTTTCTTAAAACCGTTAATACATGCATTCCTATGGGAAACCATGCTTCACAAGACGAAAAATTCGCAAGAAGAAAAAACTCGCAGAATGAATTAATTTTGTCTTGCAAGGCACCACTGTATTCTATCTGCTTAACAAATACGGGGTAGTTGTCGTCTTCATAATCTGCTTGTGAACTTTCCTATGGCATCTGACCAGTTACAAAGTGCTGGATTAGATGGATCATTGTTGCTGTGATCCACTTAGGCCATTCTTTTCTTGCATTCTAGTAGATCAGGTTAAGCATTTTAGCTTACGTTCCCTAGTTTACAAAATTTATGAAAGTAATTACAGAATAAATTGTACAGGAATTTTTGGTTTAACAACAAATGTGTTGCCACTTTGGTATGTAAATAGTGTTGAAAAATGGAAACTTAATGGGAATCAGTAAACTGTTAGCAGGTAAATATGCGATCCTATAGATTTTTGCTTGATTGAATGGTTCTTGGTGGTTTTATAGTTTCATTTGTCAGTTTAATCATCACTCCCTTGACCTCAAAAACTTCAAATCACAAGCAGCTCCACACTTTACAGAGTAATCATCTTTCCTTGGGGTACACAAGGGTTTCCCATAGGCATCTGGTTGGCCACCTTGAGAACAGAATGCCAGAGTACATAAGCTTTTGATTTGACCTGGCAAGGCTCTTCTTTTGTTCTTACAGTGTGACCAGCACACATCCTTAACAGTTTGTGAACAAATGAAGCTGCCTTACGGAAGCAGACCATTGGTCAACCTCATTTGTATTTGTCACTCCAGCAGCACTGGCTTACTGATGTCTGAGGCAGACAGTTTCCCCACCTCTTGATATCTGGAATTATTTTGAATTGTGTATGGTAGGGATCAAACTTGGGGGATTTATGCAATGCAAACACTTCCTCCAAATATATTGGGGAGATGTGGCCCAGTTGGGGCTCCCTGGCATGTTTAGGCAGGTGTTATATGCCACACGTCTTTCCTTTTACACTTTGCTTGCAGCAGGAAATATTGGTGTAACAGCATTGATGGGTGTAGTATTACATAATGTTTCAGGTAACGTTTTGGGGAAGTGAACTCCAACTGCCTATGACAGCCATCCTTGCCTTCTATCAAAGTTCTCCTTTCCGCAGAACCTGCTTCTCCTGCAAAGCAGGACCATCCTACCCTCATGTTTTTCTGTACTGTACTGCTACTGCCACAACTTTATCTCCCCCCACCCCCCATGTGTTATCATCTTTCATCTCTCGCCTGTCTGTTGTATCCAGAGCCAGCCCTACAAACAGGGATCGTGTCAGTTCTTCCTTCCATACAGGCCTTTAATTGTTGGTCCTAGATAAATGAAGAGTAGAAGCTGGAATGGGAGTTATCACTACTTTTGGAATGGTTAGGAGAAACACAGTTTCTCAAATTCTATTCTAGAACTCTGTACCCATTACAGTTAATACCTGGATGCAGCGATGATGACTTTCTTTTGGAAAGGCAGCTACCTTCAGATACTAACAAATATATGTCTATAAATATTCTTATAATGGTTCTGCTTCCACAGTGGGCAGATAATAAAGTGTTCTTCATTACAGAGATTCAGAGAGGTAAATGAATTTTTAGCAATGAGTATAACAGGATTGCAGTTTTCTGGCACAGTGAATGGGGTTGGGGATGAAGTTACAGACTATTTCCCCAGCTGTGAGCCATTCGTGTAGTTTCAAATTAGGATTGAGGGAAATCTAGCAATGGAAGTTAGGTTTGTCAACAAAGGAAGCTGTGTAAATTGGCACTAAAATCACTTGATTTTCATCCAGACAATTTTTTTCTATAAAGGTTTTAGAAGCAATCTTTCTCTGCTTTTCGGCTCCTTTGATGAAAGACATATTTTATGTAAAGCGAACTGGGGCACTTATAAAGTAGTAGACTTCTCTCAAGTGTGTAACAAAAATACTGGAAAGTGCTTCAGAAAATAGGGTGGCTATAGAATCATAGAACTGTAGAGTTAGAAGGGACCACAAGGATCATCCAGCCCAACAGTGCAGGAATCTTTTGCTAGGCTAGATCCGGAAGTGGCCCACCCACTGCTAATTTACTTTTGACAGGTAGGTGGGACCACCTGTGACACTTAGATGACACTGGGTGATATCAGGTGTGTGATATCACTTTCAAAGGAAGAATTTGGCAAATACTTTTAAGTGCCCTCTTAATTCTTCCTTTGGAGCCACGGCTTGAATTTCAAGGCACAGCTTAGTTAAAATACAAGTCCCACTTTCAGCAGTGATCTGCTCTGCTCAGGGACTCTGATATGGAGCTCCTGAGAGGAGCTGATTAAAGCAGGGCTTGCTTTCAGTGCTGAGTTTAAATTCAGTGCTCAATGCAAGCCCCACTTTCAGCAGGGATGGCTCCACTCAGGAGCTTCCAAATGGAACTAATCCCATTAGGGCTTTCCTTTGGCATCAAATTTAAAGGCACTGAATGCAAACCCCTTTTACAGAAGAACAATTGGGAGCACATTATGCGCCACAGCCCATTCAAATGGGTCTTGTGGGCTGAATTAGGACCACAGCAGGCCTAATTTGCCCTGCAGCCTGAGCTTTCCCACCCCTGTCTTAATCTGTCAAACATAAGCACCCTGTGAAGATTACCACTGGGGCAATGCACTTGAGCTCTACCTCTAGCTGAAACTTCAGTCTGTACTTGAGTCAGAAACATCTAAAACTTTTTGAAATATATGATACAGGGATAACATCATCTTCATCTCAGGAATGTTTTGAGAATCACTATAGCATTGTCTAGATAATATAAATGTGGATGACACAAATGTCACTGTGTTTCAATACATGAATAGGTCTACATATATTTAAATGTGTTTTTAAAGTTGTAGTGTTTGGCTGTGGTTTCTGTGAGAAATCTGTTTTAGAGACAGCTTGGAAATCTGCAGCAGGAAAACCTACTGCAAGTCTGTATTATTTTCTTGGTACCATTTATGTCAAAACCAGACTCTTTGTGACACATAAGTGACAGAACAGGGAGTCTGCCAATTCAGCATCACTCTCATGGGCCTCACTAGGAATTGCAGCTATGTTGACCAGCTCGTCAGTGTACCAAACAAGGAAAGTTGTGTTGTATATTTGGTTTTGTTAGCCAGTTATAGACCACAAGCAGAATTTTATAGCTTTTTAGGCAGGGAATGCTCTGAAAACACTTGAGGCTCTGTCAGGCAAACACAAGGCAGAGTAGTGTAGCTAGATTTTTTACTTCAGTAATTACAGAAACACCCTAGGCCTTTCTGGTTTTATAAACAATGAAATACTTGATGTTTAGCAGGAATTATTGTCAAGACCTTCCTTTCCAGTATGTTGATACTGAGTGTTGAATTATCCTGTCCACTGTACAGTTATCACCCCTTTCTAGCTCCAGCCCCTCTGAACATGCTGCCAGTTTTGCCTCATCAGACCCTGTGTGACTGAGGGGTATTTTAATTTGTTTGAAAGGAGTGAAGAGAGGATATAGGCGAGAAGAGCCACTGGCAAAAGCTCCTGTTCTGTGGAGAGAGTTGGTCAAGTAAACGTGTTGGGAGTGGAGATATCGGGAACAAAAGTAACAAATCTTTTAGGAAAACAAAAACAAATGTTTTGCAGGGTTCATATTTGCTATTTTTTTGTTGATGAAATGCCTGAACCCTCAGAATCAATACAAGTGGTTCTTAAATAGTGGGTTGTAAGCTTTGCTGTATGTTCCTAATACTGAGTGCTGAATACGATATAATGTGAAATATGATGCTCTCTGCCTAATGGACTATCCCTTGTTCTGGAAATTAGGGGGATGTAATCTTGTTTCTGGGTTTAATAGGTAAAAAAAACACGTTGCTGGTTGCTGCTCTGTGCATGAGGTGTTTGTTGATGTGTGAAGCTTTTTAACTCGAAAAGCTATAGCATAGCTGTATTTTTCTTCTTCACTGGCAGCATTGAGAAGCTAGAGTATTGGAGCAATTTATTCTCGATGGCCAAAGCTGACAAATAACAGAGGGAGTGCAACAGATGTAGGTAGAAAGCAACCAGTTTTGATGCCTCATACCTAATCTACAGAGTCCTGCACTGGTTTATCCCAATTGATCATGTGCTTACAAGTGACTTGCTAGATGTGGGGCTAAACTGGGAGTTGTAGGCCCTTAGACATTGACCTTCCTGTGTTGGATGTCATGGTGTTTGTATGGTCCTGTCAGTTTTTCCTGGGTAAATTTTTCACTGGGGAGGGTGGTACCTTGTAACCAAATGTCATGATATTGAGGAAACACACAGAATGCTAGAACTGAAGTCGAAAGATGCAGTGTCCTAGCAACATGAGAGAAACAGTCACTACTAATAAAGTTGCAGATCTGCAGGGTGCCCTAGTGAGCAAGCAGCTAAAGGCAGCTCTCTTTGCTAGCTTCTGTCATGCTGTTGTGTACCCAGTGACAAAAGATGTGGGTATGGGTGGAAGGTTTCTTAAGTGGTCTGCAGCGCATTAAAGCCTAAGAACCACTGAACAATCATAAGGGAAGTGAAACAATATATATATATATTTAACAATGTTTGAAAGGCTGTTTTTCTTCTCATTTGACATGCAGCAAGGACATATGGGAGAAGGCGAGGTAACAACATTCCTCTTTAATTTTCTGATGTTTAAAATGTCTCATGGCACAGCTAATGCACAATCTGCTTCTGTAAGGAGGACTGGAAGCAGGTTTTTTTTAAAAAGCCAGGCTTCCTCAATTTGCATGCTGTGGTAACCTTTAGTAACTTAATGTAGTGGCTCCCAAAATTAAGACTACCTAGGCAGAATTAGGATAGTTATACTGAGGCATGGGGATGAGGAGGCGTCAATCAGTGTTACTACAGTGTAGACTATATAATATATATGTAGGTCTGACCTTATGTGTGGGTGTGGGTGGTTGTTGCTTAGAAAAGCACCTAAGTGACTTGGGCTCCAGGTCTATTTTTCAAAGGTGACTTTGGCCATGATGCACTGTAATAGGAAAAAGACAATGGTTATCATATGTACTCTGACATGGGTGATTTAATACTGCTTCTTAAATAGTGTGCCCTTGTGGAATCAGATTGCTTTTCTGGTTCTCTCCTGTGAACAAGCTAAAAATCTTTGTGTCTGAGAGGTGCCTGGAGCCTTGGAACTGTAATTGTGTGTTTTGAAGAGCTCCTCAGCTGCTGCTGCTTAATAATAATAATAATAATAATAATAATAATAATAATAATAATAATAATATATGCCATCCATCTGACTGGATTGCCCCAGCCACTCTGGGCAGCTCCCAACAAAAAATAGTAAAAGCACAATACATCACACACTAAAAACTTCCCTAGCTTGGGTTGGGGGCACTAGCAATCATAATTTGAAGTTGGGGGGAGTTTCATGTCATTTGTGAAAATGGATCCTGGCAATTAAGTCACTTAGGTGCTTTGTGGAATGAGGGAACTGCATTGCTCGGACTTCATCCTCTGAACTTGCATGTTGAGTAAATAACCATGAATACATGCCACTTTGCTTAGCTTCTTCAACACTTTCTTGCTTGGGGTGAGGGAAGCATTTCTGCAATAAGAATAGAGTAGTAAGGAGAGTTAATACTAAAGAAAAGGAAGAGTGGCTATATGTAGTCCAGGAAAAGGGTCTGCAAATTTAGTTTTCAAAGAGAATTCATCCCTTTCAGTGGGTTTCAGATCATTATATTAGAAAGCAAATGTTCTAGAATGCTGGTAATGATGATGGGATTAATATTGTTGTGCTCATCTTCTAAACAGGAGTTGTTTTTTTGATAGGTTGTGGTAAACTGGTTCACTGTTTATTAGTGACTCAGATTTTATTGACATGTTTGACTTCTGGGGGCACCCCTTGATCAGAGAGGTGAGGTGTTTGAGAGGAGACACATCTTCTTACACTGATCTGCCCTTTAGCCCTTCAGCCAAGAACCTTAGAGTTGCCACTTCCCATGTCAAAAGGAACCTATGACATTCCTGTTGCTGCCCTTGTTGAATGATCACATAGAGGAAAGCATGACAGTGCCATTGACAATATGTGTAGCTTGCCATATTCAGTATATAAGGAACAATGTTTTCAACCATCTTGGTGTACTCTAAATAAAACTGCACTGTGATGTTTCATCAAAAAGGGATTGTAACACTTTTTTTCCCTTCTGTGTGAATGTTAATTTAAAAGAAACTGGAACACTAGCCAGAAACACAAGTTTCCAGCCTGTCTTGAAATGATACAGGAAGTCAGGTGCTAAAGTGATCAGTTTTGTCTATATGAATGTTAAGCTGTATGAAACAAAGTACCACTTTCACAGTAACATATACAGTAAGTACCATAGCAAGGAGACCCCTACATAATTAATAGCAGAATGATTCTTGAAACATGGCTTTCCTAGATAATCCATTAATCTTGTATAACATCAAGGTACTGGTTACTATTAGGAAACAAAACCACCTAGAGTCTACATCTGTCTGTGGTGATACATCTGTACCTGGACTATATCACTTCAGTCTGAAAGAGTGAAGAGTCACAGAACCAAATGCTTCCTCTACAAAAACATCATTGTACATTGAAAGCTGGCATATTAGGGGTAAGGCTAGGCTATAACCTTTCCCCCTGACATGCTAATCTTATATGTGTGGGGACTTTTCTTATATGGAAAAACACACAATTGCATAAGTTCTTACTTCTCGTATGTAGTGGCACAGCCAAGATTGATGAATGAGCCTCAGCTTGTTTCATGTTGGCTAGGAAATAAGCTGAGAAGTAACCAGTTTATTTCTAAGCCAACTACCCTTTGTTTACTGGATTTTACTCATCTACTAGTGGTGTTCTGGCTCAGGCAGTAGTGGTAGCAAGCTGCAGGGAAAAGCAAAGGAGGGGCGTCTCACTCTTCCTTTCCCTCCTTCTCATAACAAAATCAGGGAAATGTAGTTTTCCCAACAACAATGTTGGTAGGCACTGGAAAAAATTATTTTCCAGGGGTTAATTGTGGCGCAGGTACCTACGAAGGTAGAAGAAGGAAATCTTCTTTCCTTGCTGATACCACCATTGGGGATGAAGGGAAGGACTTCAATAACGTTTGAGGTCAATATTCATTTTGGTGGTATATTTCTATACTTTTGTGATGACTAGTGATTTTTGCAAATAAATTTGGCTGGCTGCTCACAGGAGGAAGTTTGGGAATAGGCTAGTGGGTAAGAAGGGAATGAGTGGGTAGAAGTTTGGGAGTCTGATTGGATGGAAGAGGAATTATTCTATAGATCAGAATAAAACCTGAGCTGAAGAAGAATTCAGGGGTGACAGTAATATTTGCTTCAAGGTTGAGGGCAAGTATTAAGTTTTTATTCTGCCTTTCTTCCTGAAGTTCAGTGAGGCATGCATTGTTATTCTTCCCCATTTTATCCTCAAAGCAGCCTTGTGAGGTAGGTTAGGCTAAGAGAGAGAGACTTCTCCAAGCTCTTCCCAGCACTAGTCTAATAACCTAACAATTATGTGATGCTGTATGCCAAGCATTATGAGACCTATGAAACTCATACTTCCAGGAAGAGTTACAGCATTAGTTGGTTTACTGTGTCAGTAAAAACTAAGGCTAAAGAATTTCAGATTTGGGGAGGGGAGTATTTGTTTGGTAGGATATTTTACTACTACTGTCACATTGTCACTGTTCATGATTTCAAGTCTCTGAGATTAAAGTGTAAATTAGATGTGGGATATTTCACTTCATCTGAACTATGCAGTTATCTGGGGTTAGCTGAAATCTTGCAACTTGCAATTCCACAGCATTCTTCATACGATATTGGGGAAAGGCACCAAAATTATTCTTAATATATTTGATAAAGCATTTATTTGCAGCATATGTTTGAAAAATATTCAATTTGGTGTGTGTTGAGAAGAGAATTGGGGGATATATTGACGGTAGAGGTTAGCCATTTAATGATTTTGATTGTGCTTGTATTATATTATGGTACATTACCTTGAGCTGCCTGCATAACAGTTGACAGAAAAAAAATATTGAATTTATAAATAATATTAAAATGAAGTTTTCCTATTTTGTTTCATAGATAGTATTAACAGGGCATCTTCGTATACCCAAGAGGTCAGGCTGTAGGAGTAAGAAAGACATGTAGTTAATGTTACTGTTAATTATGTAGGTAGAAGGGAAAATCCGCTGACATGTCTGATGTAGCAGTTAATATTAATGAAATAATTGTATCTATCCAAATAGAATTTTCTTCTGTTAGTATGTTTTGCATTTCCCCCCTCTTTTCCATTGTAGGTCAGTCTTCACTGTTCCCAATGGAAGATGGGTTTTTGGATGATGGACGTGGGGATCAGACGCTCCATAGTGGCTTGGGATCACCACACTGCTTTTCCCACCAGAATGGCGAGCGAGTGGAACGGTACTCCCGCAAGGTGTTTGTAGGTGGTTTGCCACCTGATATTGATGAAGGTATACTTGGACATCAGTATAGCCAAGAATACCCACATTAACCATAAGGGGCAAGGCTTAATTGTGACACGTGGGAGGGGTGGACCCTCATGTCTTGGCTATGTGCAATTTTTGGGGGGGCTGTGAAAATAATTACCTAAGCTATGAGCTGCCAAATATGCAAGCTGCTGGGTTATGAACTGTGAGGATAAGGAGTTATGAGCTGGACAGCTCATGCGATAGGTTTTCTTTCCATCTAGTTCCGTTAGTTGCATATTATGTTGAATGACATCATAAAACTCTTTATGAAGGTCTTTTATTTTGGAGATGGCTGTGCTTAAGACTTTATGTTAAAGCCATCAATACAGGCACAAATTTAGATCAGTGTCTGACTTAGAAGTGGAGTGCAGTGCTTCGATTGTTTTAGGGAGCAATACACAAGGCACTGCCTTTTTGCAACCACCGTATATTTCACAGGGGGAATGAATTATTCCTACACCTCAAATCTGTTTTAAGCATAATGAACACTACTGGGGGTGTGCCTAACAAGGTGAGAGTTATTGCAGTATAGACTTTCATTTGAAAACAGGGTTTAAGTAGATGGACAACCATGGATGAATTTCTTTAGCTGAATGGGTTTCTGCCATGGGTATCTATTTTGTATTGTTCATGGTTGGTTTTGGTTTTTAAAATATATATGTTGTTTTTAAATGCTTTTTGCTATTTTTATTGTGCATTGCCTTGAAACATTTGTGTAGAAGGCAGTTAGTTGATAATAAATAAATAATAGATCCCTCTAGGTAATTAGTTATAAGAACAAAATAATGCCTCATTTTTAACAATAATTTACATTACTTTCTTTGGGATATCTAACCCTAAAATACTATTTTCAAATTCTGTTAATCTGGAAAAACAGTTCTTAGTAAGCTGCAAGCAATGTCCCAGTATCTCTTTAGCACCTCTGTTGCTTGCATGCACATGAAAGTATCTGGGAGGCTTGTGACTGGGTCAGAGATCACTTGCTTTTGGGAAAAGAAATCCTGACACATGTTGAAATCCAGAGGATAGTTTGAGAGGGATTTAGGGAAAATAGTAAATGAATGGAAGTGGGTAGATCACATATATTTTATTTATTCAGATACTGTGTTATAGAGAAACACTAAATTTTCTTCCTTTAAATAGCTTTAATTATGAGTTTGTTTTAAAATTAGACTGACTTTAAGAATTCTCTATCTGCTGTTGTTAGCATGAGCTGTACAGGAGTTAGATTTGTGTAATATTAGCCAGTATACAAGTCACCTGATCTGAATTTTGAAATGGAAGGAGGCTTTGAAATGGCTGCAGCAATTGCCGTCTGTTAATGTGTTCTGTGCATACTGTCTGCATCTTCGTCTCTATGGCTATTATATAACTGCTTTCTAGAAGCCCTGCCGAAGTTAGTCGGAGGTCAAGCTCAGATAATGTGCACAGATGTGGCATAAGCATGTGATGTGAGCAGGCACGACTAGACCGTGTGATATTCTTTTCTCTTTCTCCCAGTGTTTTGCAAAGCAGCTTGCAGAGCAGACTGCTCTGCACTCTGATTCAGACTCTGCACGCTAGTTGTGGGAGAATGCCTGAAGCTAGGATCTGGTAGCTGTTTAGGTTCAGTGATTTCGCTCCTTTGAGTGGCTTGCTGCAAATCTTTATTTGTAATCTAAAACACACAGCTTCAGTATCTGAACTGTTTTCTTCATTATTAGACATATGTTTTGACTTGTCAAGCCTTCCCTTTAAACAATAAAAAATATCATCAGCTCTCTGTCTGCTAGCATTACAGAAAATACTTGTAGGCTAGACCAAAGTGTTATTACCAACTTAACCTGAAATCACTGTATGATGTGGTGTTTTAATACTTGCTTTTCCCTCTGACCTGCAGATGAGATCACCGCTAGCTTTCGCCGCTTTGGCCCTTTGATTGTGGATTGGCCTCACAAGGCTGAAAGCAAGTCCTATTTTCCTCCTAAAGGTAACACTTAGTATTTTATATGTTACATTTTGTGTCCCGTCCTTCCTCAGAAGAGCGCAGGTTAACTGTGATCTGGTGACATCTTGTTTCACCTATTGAACTTCACAACTGAGCTGGGATTTGAACCTGGCTCTCTTGGTTCAAGCCCAACACAATCCACTAAGATACACAATATTTTCCTAGTATGTGGGCACAGTAAGGTTGCAGAGTATGGATTTATTTATTTATTTTTAGTATTATTCTCTGTACCTTTTGTTTGTTTGAAATTGTTCTTCATTGCTGCTATTGCTCTAAGACCCTGTTGTACTTTGAATACTTTAGTTGGGCTGTAGATAAGAGTGCTCTATTTAGTCATAGTTTAAGATTATTTATTTCTGCTCCTATTCAGTAAATTACTTGGTTTATTTAATCCAGAAACGGGGAATCTGTGGCCCTCCAAATGTTACTGGACTCCAACTGTCATTAGCCCCCCGTTAGCATAGCCAGTGGTCAGGGATAATAGGAGCTGTAGCCCAACATCTGGGGGGGGGGTGTTCAGCTACATTTTACTCAGAGTAGATTCACTGAAATTAATCAGCTTGACTAAGTTATGCCCATTTATTTTAACAGGCCCAGTTTGAATTAAACTTAGTTGAATACCATTCCTAGAGAGCCATAGGTTCTCCATCTTTGCTTTAACTTCTCTCCCCTCACCCCCTGTTCCTTGTTCTACTTAAATCTTTCACTTTGAATGACAAAAGCTTATGTGTTACAACATACACTGTATAGGGAGTTTGCCATTGAAGTTGTGGCCAAGAAATGTAGGAAGCTTTGGCTCTTGTAGCCTGCTCCCACTCTTATTAATAAAAGCAATTTGTTTAGATCAGAGCTTTTCCAACTGCTTCTCCAAAAAAACTTCATATTCCCTAAATATGGGCTAAGGATTTGTTCATCTCTATGGTCATGTGGAGCCTAAGTAGATAACTTCAACGCTCTGAATCTCACAGAATTTTTGCAATGTTTGCCTCTGTTTCTTTATCTACATAGGATATGCATTTTTGCTGTTCCAAGATGAAAGCTCTGTGCAGGCTTTGATTGATGCATGTATTGAAGAGGATGGAAAACTCTATCTGTGTGTTTCCAGTCCCACAATTAAAGACAAACCGGTAAGTGGAATTGTCAGGTATGTGTAATTTAGAAGAAGATGGACACAGAAATTGGGTGCATAAGTGCTACATTTTCACAAGGCATAGGTTGGCAATACAGGCTTTTTTTTCCTACGTGAGCACATACTACCATTATTTTTCAATAAATGTGCACTTTTCTTTGGGTTAGGGTCGAGATAATTATTCCAGAATATAGAATAGCAGGCATTAGGCCAAACTTGGCTAGTCTTTATTAACCTGATTTGGGGCCAAATCCCACATGTTTAATATCTGATCTCCAGCATAGCCCCATCCCCAAAGAGACCCTCCTATACTATGACCCACTTAATCTATTTTCTCACAAGCGGAGATTTAACTCCCACTTTAGTATGAATCCAAACATGTCTGCAAATAGACTTCAATGGGCCTTGCTATAACTATCAACCAGCTGACTGGAGGTTACAGCAAGATGCTTTATAGTTGCCATAATTATGTCAGGTGATTGATGGGTGAGCAGCCCTACCCACCTATAATCGTTGGTCTGCATGGCAGGAGTATGGGCCACTGGCTGGATGTGGCTCTTTATCTGTTCAAGGGTTACGCTGAGGACTAGCCCATTTGTCACAAGCAATGCACTCGTGTGTGTGTGTGTGTGTGTGTGTGTGTATGCGTGCGCGCGCACACACACACACACACACACACTGTACATCCCCCTCCCCTCAGTCCTTCACTTCTGAATAATTTAATGTGTGGATAGAGGTTTGTTGTGATGACTGAGCCATATCTCAGTGAAGGACATGGTGGTTCATCTTTCTTAGACAGACGTGTGGACTGTGCAAGCTGCTTCCTTGAGGAGTGCCCTCTCTCCACCCTGGTAGCCTATTGTGCTCCTGCTTCAGAAATTCCATATGTGAAACCTGGCTTTGTTATTGCTTGGCTAGATTAGAATGATTGCTAGGAAAGTAGCCTCTAAAATCCCATGGATGTGACATGCAGGAAACACTGTTGTTGTAACATCTTAATGATGTGCGTGCTGCAGGGCAGGGTGGTGGTGGGATAATTCGACTGTCAACTTGAATTGTGAGTGGTAAAGTCTCATCTTCTGCTTGTAGGTTCAAATCCGGCCTTGGAATCTTAGCGATAGTGACTTTGTGATGGATGGCTCACAGCCTCTAGATCCGCGGAAAACCATTTTTGTAGGAGGAGTTCCACGACCCTTACGGGCAGGTATGGTATGCAAAAACAAGTGCAGTGGCTTGTTGATTCTATCCAAGCTGCCTTACTGCTGTGAGAGAACATTGTGTCCTTATTTCTATTGTAGAAGTATGCCAGTGCTTGCTAAATTTAACTTTTGCTGACACTCCAATTATTTCCAGATACAAGAGTACAAATAAACATGCTTTTGCCCAGGGTCTAGAAAGAGAAGTATGTATATAAAATATCTGGGTAAATCGTTTGTTACTACTTTATTTTAGTGGAGCTTGCAATGATAATGGACCGGCTGTATGGAGGAGTTTGCTATGCTGGAATTGACACAGATCCTGAGCTGAAGTACCCAAAAGGAGCTGGGCGTGTTGCATTTTCTAATCAACAGAGTTACATAGCTGCTATCAGTGCCCGCTTTGTTCAGCTGCAACATGGAGAGATAGATAAACGGGTAAGGGCTAGAGCACATTCTGTGTATTACTCAGCATTCTTTCATGGGTTTATTTCCATATAAGTGCCCGTGTGTGGCAGGAGAAAATGTTGTATTAAATGGAAAATATTATCTTCCCTGTATTCCTAGCATACATGCATAAAAAAGCCATACCACACATAAAAAAGCTATACCACAAAGCCCCTCCATCATCCCAGAGATCCGGAGGTGGGGGGATCTAGTTTAACATTGGCTTTTTAATGCCTTCTGGCACCTTCTAAAACTGTTGTTCCCTTCAGAGAAATTTCCTGTAGCACAGCATAAGCCTGTGTTCCTAATGTTATCCTGTTACCTCTGCATGACTTGCTTTGCTGTTGGCCTCTTTTTCACCCCTGCCTATGTGCTGGAAGTAGAATGGTCAATTGGTTTATGAAAGTAGAATGCAAACTGCTGCACTATTTGCATTCATTTCTATAGAATTTGTGTGAGTCTCTCCAAGTCCTGTTTTAATTCCATGCAGGTTACACAGCAACAATATGAAATCATCATTTTATGTTGATGTTAGTGCTGGCTTCTTAATAGCATATGTTCACAGCACATGCCAACAAAAGCAAAAATAGCTTTGCCACAAATGTCCATATTTCCCTGTATGTAGCTCATTGTCATCCTTCCTTCATTCGCCAAACCTTTATTAGGCATTACAAATATAGGCCATCATAAAACATCCACATATAAAATTTTAAAATATATACAAATAAACAGCCATGTAAAAATATGTAATAATGAGAATTTTCGTTGGAGTTTCTTCCTGCTAAATAGTGCTATTCACCACCCTGAGAGATACTATTGATAAAAACTCAGCCACCCTTGCAGTTACTTCCGGGTTAATGTCGGACAGATATTTTCTGATATTTTCATTGTGCTGTGTCATTCACATGGTGAGGAAGAAAGAGTAGGGATTAAGGAACAGGCAGTATTTTGTTGTGGTGTAAGATCTTGTGAGCCAGCTCTGTCACTGTTGTATTGTTTTACTGTTTCTTAGCCATTTGACATGTTTTCTTCCGGGGTTTTGTGACTCAGCAATTTGAAAACCATGATTTACTTGATTGGATTTTTAGGGAGAAAAAGCAAATTGTGCATATTGATTTGTGATGGCTGGTCCTTCTCCGAGTTTAGAAGAGCTGTCATGTTTCAATTTCTCATACACAGTAATGGCATACAGGTTAGATTTACTGTTGCTAGCAAAAGGTACCTGAAATCTGAGCAGGAAATGAAAACATTCCTGTCCATGTCCTCCAGCAGATTTAGGCATATGCAGATCCTTTCTAGATTGAGTCCCCTTTGCAGAAAAGCCGTCCCCTTTGCTGAATTTCCATGTCCAGAATCTGCATCTGTGTGTGCACTTCCCCCTTGGGGAATGGAGCCACAGATGCAAGCCAAACTCGCCACTTTTGCATCAGATCCCAGTTTAATAAACTAGGATATGTCCTTTGCTGTCACTTTATTCTACTCTTCACATGAGTGGCAAAAACAGACCATGGTTTCCTGTTACATGTGAAGCAGGGACTATGACTAATGACTTCCAAACAAGCCAGATTTGCAAGGCAGCTTCCGATGCAGCCACTGTCAGTTTTAACAGCACCACTCATCTAAGAGGAGTTTTTCGCCCCCCCCCCGAGCGAGGAAATCTAAATTTAGACCCCTTCAGTAGGGCATTCAGTAGGGGCTACCACAGTTGGTGATAACAGTGGCACCCATTTGTTTGGCAAATCCAGACAATCTGTGTGTACTGTAGTCAGTGAAGATATCTGGATCATGCTGTGCCTCCCCATTTGTGTGAAAATCTAGACTTTGACATTTGTAAGCATTTAATGCTCTCTCAACCTCAGATACACACATTTTTATAAAACTCAATTTAAAACAAATATCACTGCAGCCGCTGAAATATATTTCTGTTTAAAACATATTCAATGAAATAAGGAGTTGTTTATTCACACTTCTTAACATTGGTTAGGAAACAGTGATGTTCAACATTCAAATATTTTTAAAATCCTTGAAACGGTGCAAATAGACAAGATGACACAAGATCCATGATTGGACTGACCCCCTTTAAATTTAGTTGGTGGAAGGAACTGAATCAGGCAGTGGAGGGAGGGTTGTTTTTTTTTAAGCATCTCTTCCCCTCCCTATTTGCATGAGTGGACTGGCGGACATTCATTAACTAGAGGAATTATCCTGTTAACCAAATGCCTGCCAGTCCACTCTTCAAACAGAAATTCATGGTAAGACCAATTTCCTTCCTTTTCCCACTTCAGATTGTCCCCCTAATACTACCATCAGCCTGACATATGGTTACTGTATGTTTTGCTCTGCATGGCAAATAATCCAAATTGCTCCTCCCTACCCCATAGCTATTAAGAAAATGGCGTGGGGGTGGGGGTGGGGGGAGAATTAAAGCCTTCTCTCCCTGTGCTGTATTCCAGATCCAAATCAGGCCTTTTAAAATAAAACCAACAATCCTGAAGAGATCCAATCACAGATATGCCTTCTTGTGTTGTTTCCATGGTCTCTTCCCAGTAGTGAGGCTTAAGCAAATATTAAATGGTTTTATTTCAGCAGAACTCCTCAATCTCTTGTTCTTATGGGGCACCTCAGTAACTTTAATTAAAAAATACTTTCACATGATCAAAATTGACTTGACATGCTGCCAGTTAGGAGCAAATATTTTTTTAACCAGCAACACAGAACTCCCCCAATATGATACTTTGCTCAAACATTTCAGCACAATCAAAATGCCCTTTTCTTTCTCCCTTGCCAATTTATTGCCTTACACATCACTTACTTTATGGTGTGTCTTGCATAAAACGAAACAAATTCTTAACATGTGCAAGCATCCTAAGAATTATTGGGACAAAAACTTCTGTAGGTTTGCATGATGTCTCTTAGCATGGTGCCAAAGATTTGATGGTGACCACTAGCCTGGATTGCTTTAAAAGAGGGTTTGGCAAATTTATGGATAACTTTAAGCATCAATTAGTAAAATATTTATTATTATTAATAATAATAGCAGCAGTAGCAGTTGTATTTTCATCCTGCTTTTCCTCCAAGGATCTCAGGGCAGCATATATGCTTCCTCTCTCGCACCCTCAATTTTATCCTCACAGCATCCCTGTGAGCTAGGTTAGACTCAAAGAAGGTGACTTGTGCACAATTATTCAGTAAGCTTTATGCATGCCTCAGTGGGAATTTGAAAACATCTCTCTGAGGATCTAGTCCAGAACTCTGACCACTGTATCACACTCCACATTCAGAGACCTACAGGTATAGGACAGTATACAAATTTTAATAACAGTAATAAAATAACCTTAATAAATAATAAACAACTTATGAAAACCAAATTACTGGTAGACATATAACAAGGGAAAGCTATAGCTTTCCTGCTCTTTTTGTAGGTTTCTTGGAGGTATCTGGTTATCCATTGCTGGCAACAGGATGCCCGGCTAGTTGGATCCTTGCTCTGCTCCAATTGAGGTTTTCTTAAGGCACAGTGGAATATTCATTGAGGCATCTGTATTAACAGTTAGATTGCAGTAATCTACACAGAAGACACTCTAGCAGTGTAAACTTTCTCTCTCCTTCTTTTAACACAGGTGGAAGTTAAGCCATATGTCTTGGATGATCAGCTGTGTGATGAATGTCAGGGGGCCCGTTGTGGTGGAAAATTCGCTCCATTTTTCTGTGCTAACGTTACCTGTCTGCAGTATTACTGTGAATATTGCTGGGCTGCTATCCATTCACGCGCTGGCAGGGAATTCCACAAGCCCCTGGTGAAAGAGGGAGGAGATCGCCCGAGACATATTTCATTCCGCTGGAATTAAGTGATTCCTGCAGCGTGTTCATATGCAGGCCTCAAAATAAGTGCACTCTTCTGTTATCCTGATTCCCATGCCCTCCCTTCCTCTTCTCTCTTATTCAAGATAGCATGTCCTACTGTTGTAGTCTGTAACTTAACAATAGTGTAACAAAAGAATGACCTATAATCATATAGGTATTTTGTAGAATCTTGTCATTAAACTGTATTGGGAACTGCTATTCATATGGATAACACAGTGCATGGAAACCAGGTTCTCTTACCTTTAGTTACCCAGGGGGACACTGCTTTCCTGCTATCTTTTCTTGAAGGAAGAGAGAACAATATTAAGAGAAGAGAAATGAAACAATAGAGTATTTTGTTTTTTAATTAAATTATTGCTAATAACAAAATCAATAGAATACTTTTATGAAAAGTAATCATGAGATAGGAACACTATGAATCTATTCTGACACTTTGTCCAACCCACCCTTCCTTCTCCCGTTCCCTGCCCAAACCTCTGGGAAGCCTGTTTTCTTGCCGCCTATGATTTTATAGCAATGGAAACAGTTAGCCGTTAACCTAGTAACAGGAAAGAGCATGTTTAAAGCAACAAAAATGCATGAGCAAGGTTTAAAGCAGCATTAAGTTAAATGTTTTATTTAAGGGTTCCGAAGCTATTTTTTTAGCACAGTACGTGTTTCTCACCGTGCCTCCGACTTCCCACCACATTCAAACTTTTACTAATTGAGTAGGCAGAGCTTAGATCTGTGTTCTTCATCCAAGCAATCACATTTTAAAAGTTCCTGAATGTAAATCCTGGGTCAATTTACTACTGGGGGTGGGTGGGGAGTGCACTTATTCTTTGTTGTTGTTGTTGTTGTTATATTATTATTATTATTTTTTTTTAAAGAAGAAACTTCATTATCAGAATACAGCCCTAGAAATCCTACCAAAGCTAAAGTAATGACAACTAGTGAACTGGCATGTCCTCTCCTGAAGAACAAATGTATAGATTTTATTTTTGATGGTTATATAGAACTCTATATCCTAATTTACTAATGTTAATCAGGGGCCAGCCTTTGCTCTCCATTTTGACGTGAAATACAAGAACCTAAAGATATACCTCAAGATTATGATTTTGATTCCCACCTTCCCCGCCCGCCTCTAAGACACTAGTAATTCATTCTAACCACACAAATCAAAATTTGGCTACTTACTGGGCTTACTCTGGGACGTAAATGTGTTTTAATCTCTGAATGAAATTGGATCATCAAAAGCATAAGAGGGACAAAGTGAAGTTTGTTGCCAGGGATGTTATGCACTGTTGGTTGAATGAATATGCATTGCATATTGGCAAAGAAGAATATGCTTGTCTTTCAGCAGAGAGCAAGTAAGAAAATCTAAATAAATAATTCTTTTTGGAACTTAGCACAGAAAATAAAGAATTCCAGGGCTCTAATGTACCAACTTGCTGAGAAATGCATGGGTTGTTTGAACCATATAAGTGAGAACACAGTAGATGTTAAAGCTAAAGCACAGGGTGGTGTTGGTTAGTTTGATATAGTCACTCGAGCTCTGTAAAGCTGAGAAAATTGATAGGAGTGAATGAGTTCAGTTCTTAAGAAATGATTTTGTAGCAGTGTGCAAAACAACCCAGTCCATTGGCAATCTGAACTGGCATGGTACCACCATAGACTCTTAAACCAAAGACTTGCCTTAGCACAGCTACAGACAAAAAACAACAACAAATCTCTTCTGTAAGCCCTCTCCCTCCCCTTTTCTTCCCCCTCCCCAATTATCTTTGAGAAGCAGTTTTGATTTTCAACACATAAAACATACCTTGTTATTTTCCAAAGGTCAAAATGGAGACATTTGCTGTCTACTCGTCAAGTAGAGAAAGGGAGCTGCTTTTAATGAAATCCCTGCAAATATTGACAACAGTAAATGCAAATGGAGAGTGCTCTTTTGTAGACTGTCAGGGACCTTTTTCTCTGAAGTACATAATTATAGTTGGAATATTCGTTTTAATTTTTTTAAATGCTTGTAGGTGGCTTGGGGTGTCTTATTGTGCCGATCCTACCCAGTGAACAGGTGAGATGGGTTACCATTACAAGAAATAACACTGTTTGAGAAGTAGCTTTGAATAATAATTTTTTCCCTTTGTACATGACCTGCTGAATTTCGGTACAGTGTTTTTGTAGCTAACTTATTTTGTCATGCACATAATGTATATTTGTTATGCACTACTTTTGTATATCTTGTTTTTCCAACAGTGAGCATTTTTAGGCACACTTTTCACTGACGGGATATCTCTTTATGCAATACCTCAATTTTTCATATTGCAAAGAGTAGCTTTTTGTACTTTTATTACTGAGAGATCTTCATATACTTCATTTTTTAATATAAATAATTTTAATAAATTTTATTTTCTTATATTCTGCTTTTTATACATTTCAGTGCTCTGCATACATTTTGAATTATGGATGTTGTGCACTGGCAATGCTATTTTAGAATTTGCAGAGAAAAGAAAGCATGTTGCTTAAACATCTTTAGCCCAGCACCAGGTATTTGGTGTACATATAATTTAAAGAAAAAATACTTATATGTAAAGTTGAGACTTAAAAAGAAATTTTTAAAAAGCATGAAAGTGACAAATGAGAGAGTTTGTCTTTAGACCCTTGAAATTTAATGCATAAGCATAGAGTAGAAGTTTAAAAGTAACATCCCAAATTGTCTACCGCTTCTTAATAGGTTTTTAAAAGTAATACACAAATGCAGATGTTTTTTGGTGAATGTTTAGCCATTTTTAATCTTAACAAATTGATGTTAGGTGTTTGCAGAGATGTGTCTGCTCTTTTAAATCATATGTAAGGAAATAAACCCAAGCCTGCCCAGTGGTGGGCATGTAATGTTAGTATGCATGACTAATATTAAAAGAAAAATGTTATTCTACTAATATTCACTTGTGGTGATTGTGTGAAAAGCGTGTTTACAGATTATTTGGTTACACTTCAATTTACAGGGCATAAATGATTATCTATATTACTCTGTACTCTAGATAGTGCTAATATCTAATGTCCTTCTGATTACATGGGAGGGTGGAGTTGCCATGTCACTCCAAGCATAACTAACATGTAATTAGTTTTAAAATCTTAGGGTATCACTTTATTTAAAGGGGTGTAAACAAGCATGTCATTTTCTCTCACAAGCATGGCACTGGCCATGTACTTACAATGTAGTTACAGAGTAATTACATGGTTATTTTTGCAATGTAAAATAAAGTGTTTCTGATTATTTTATATGTAAAGGAACCCCCACTGCCCCGTGCTTTTTTGGTATATAGTATCTACTTCTCCATACACAGACCTCTGCAGAAAGCAAATCTAAAACTTGCAGTGAATGACTTTAGTGTTTTATAAGGATGCTGTTGGAAAGACTTGATAATTCACCCCTTTTTTGTTTCTTGAAGAGTTAAAGCCTTCTGTTTTAAAAGGTGATTTAAAACTTGAATGTGATGAATTGTGGCAAGTTAACTTCAAGTTATGTGCAATACTTATTTCAGACTTCTGGAAGATCTTTGCAGTGTAATTCTTTGTTTTTAATTGCAGACATTTAAAAATGTCATTTTCTACTGTTCTAGTAAATCCTCTTTCTTGCTGGTGTTTCTAAAGAAAAGAATCAGAAATCAATCTTTCTACTAATGTAAATTTGAGATTATTTTTTAAAAAAAGGAATAAAAGAGGTTTTGGTCATTTGCTTTATTTTATTATCTTATTTTAAAGCTACTGTGATTGATAGCATTGTAAGAATTGGGACAATATTGTATTCAACTGTTTTATTTTTTATATTTTTAAAATTTAAAGTATAATTAGTTTTTATAATTTTCATCAGATTCTTTTGTTATATTTTTTGGAAGTGAAACTTTTAGCAAGTGGGTGTCTAGTTTTTACTAATCCCTAATATGTTTTCCCCCGATGTAATGCTCATATTATCAGAAGGAAAAGTTATTTAAGTATGTCAGTTACTTGTACTACTTGGCTGAATTTCCATATAGTTTTTACTGTGTATGGGGAGGTTGTAGTATTTATTATAGCATTTTAAATAAGGGTAATTCATTTTTTATTAAAGTCATTTTCACATTAAGTTCATATTTTTGTATGTTCTACTCTAAGTTATAACACAAGTTTCTTTTTTAAGAGAGTTCATTTGTTGAAGTGCTAGTGGAAAATTAATGTTATTAAATAGTTTGCAAATGACTATTTATACCAGTATGCATATAATTTTTAAATATTTGTAATGTGAGATGTTGAATGAATAAAACTTTTAACTCAATGACTACTCAAGCTGTTATTTTGAGCTCTTCAGCATCGTGACATAACCACTATTCCTTTTTGACTTCATTATTTTATGAAGGAACAGTGTTGCAGAGTGGAAATCATTTTGCTACACGTGTCTCTAATTCAAATCACTGGCCAGCCATGAAGTGCAGTTGTTGACCTGAAGGACAGTTATATCCAAATATTGCTCAGATGTATGTGATTGCTGTTAGTGATAACAGTTGTAAACCACTATGTTCTAGAAACAACTAACATCTGACCTGCAGTAGTGTTTTATTCTCTGCTTCAAAAGAAGTACTAAAAATTAGACCAGTGTTTACCAACCTTGGGCCTCCAGCTGTTTTTGAACTACAATTCCCATCATCCCTGACCACTGGTCTTGCTAGCTAGGGATGATGGGAGTTGTAGTCCAAAAACAGCTGGAGGCCCAAGGTTGGGAAACACTGAATTAGACAATGATTCTTTTATTCGTTCTACTTTGGACCTTGTGAATTGAAGAGCCAGTGTAAGGGACAGAGTTTTGGACTTTGACCAAGGTGGCTAAGATCTAAATAGCTGCTCAAGGAAGGAAAGGAGGGAGAAACAAAAAGAGAGGAGACTTGAAAGGTGCACTGGTTTTTCTTCAACCCAATGAGTTTCACATCTTATGACTCCTGCAATGTTCTCCGTATAATCATAAGCCAGGAAATAGTTTTAGTAAAGAACTATCTACAACAGATCTTCTCTCCTTTTGCTACTTTCTCTCTCTGGCATCTAGCCCTGCTTCTTGCTTGGGTCAAACCTGCTAGATAAGAAATAAGCTGAAATGCTCACATTTATCCTTACAGCTCCTAAAGGAGCCCTAGTTAACCAGAACAGTCTTCTGTACTACCTTAGATTAACGTGCTTAACATGTGATTATTATTATTATCATCTGTGAATTTTCTGAGTCATTCTTGAATTCCATAATACAATTGGCCATTTCCCTTGGATACTTGAGATGCAGCTTCCATGGCCTTGATATTGATATATTTAATAAGCAAATCTGCCATCTTCCGCCAGGTCAGAACCCTTCTAGTATTTTGTCATGTTGTCCTGAGATGGTTTTGAGAGTTTGGCCTCCCAGTGGTGTCAGCTTCGATGTCTCAGTCCAAGGCATAACGAAGCCCAACAATAGGGGCTAGTCCTAAAGAACTTTGTTTTCAGACATCCCTAATCACAGAGAGTGTGCTGTTAGGATAAGCCTTCAGCTGCTGCTCAAATGTCACCCTGGGGGTAGAGCCAAATACTGACTATTTATATTTTGTAAATTTGGTACTTGGGGAAGATCTGCTGTCTCTGGCAGGAGTCTCATGTGACTTTGGCATGAATCTTCAGCAAACTCAGCATCTTTGCATCTATTTTTAAACAGCCAGCCTTCGGTATGTCAGCTAGGCCAAAAACAAACAGCCAAGTGTTCAGTCACCTGCTTCCACTTACTGGTCTTCTGCTACTTAATCATCAGGACAAAGGGAAGCCCAGTGTGTGATGCCGAAATAATGGAATGTTGGATGAGCGGTGAGACAATTGGGGTGGCAACGTGTCCGAGGAGAAGAATGCAAAGCATCAGAAACTGGAGTGACTTGGCAGGCGGGGCAGAAAAAAAGCTCGGCCAGCTTTGCCAAGTCTGGGTGAGGCCGGCCTGGGTTCTTGTGGTTTTCTCCTTCATCCCCCAAGCACACTTGGAAGCTGCTCTAGGGAGAAAGTGGAAAGCTTTTATGGAATGTTCACAGCTGAGGCTTTGAGCTACGTGGTATTCTATATTACAAGGCCAAGCCATCTGTGTTTTTATAGCCAATGCCCCTTTACAATCTACATCCCATACATGATACATGTAAACAAAGCAACCCAAAATTTCAAAATTCAGATCACTAAAGCGAATGTTGCAAATGTCACTTGTTTGCCAAGGCGTTGAAAACAAAATCAATCACTGTTTTGAATTAGAAAGATGGCTCCCAGTTTTCTTGCTGCTTCTTAATAGAGCTACCCTTACAGGTAATCAGCATGTTTACAGCAACATATTTAGTTCTAAAATAATCTGATTTACCTTCTAGGAAACTAAAAAGGAAAACAAAAACCCTATCCCTATGTTTTGTTATGTGAGTTACTGAAATAGCAATACAAAATACAGTGATATCGTCAACCTGGTGTGCATACACAAATATTATTCTTCGCCTGTTTTTTGTGTTTTTGGTTTTGGTTTTTTTAAAAATGCCAGTCAGATATTACTTGGCCATTGTTTGAAATGTGAAGTGAGTACATCCCCCCCCCCGCAATTTCTTTTCATTTATGAAACATCCCAAAGCAAAATATAAAAACCATTTCAAATCCAGTATGGATACAGACTAAGATAATAATCTCCCCTTAAAAGTCTTGTTTAAAAAGGAAAGCCTTGAATGTATTCCAAAAAGACAACCGAGATGGTGCTTGTCTAATACAGAAAGTTGCAAAGGGTAGGTGTCATTACAATAAGTGCCTGACTTTAACATCATGTAAAAGATGGTATCTGCAAGAGGCATATAAAACTGCAGACTTTGAATTCTTCATGTATTCACAATCTATTTGGGCATCTTCATAGATCTTGTGAGCAGACACATCCTGAGATTATTTTACAAGAGAATTTAAATAGCATCAAACAGTTCCCAAATTATGCCCAGCCTTCTTAATGCTGCAGATCTAAAAATTGTATTTTTAAAATAGGCATTGACATGATACTACTGGAAGTCGCCTCCCCCCTCCACCTAGTTTAGGATAAATTATTTATGTGTCCTTTTACAGAAGGAAGAGCTGCTTCTAGGTAATGCACCAAGTAGACTATATGAGACCACAATATGCACAAAACCAATGGGAATTGTATCAAATTCATCTCTTTTAGGACTACCGTAGATTGATGCCCAGATGAGATACCATTTTATCAACAAAAACATGGTTGTAGCAAACAATGACCTTTGCTGAAATAAAGTGACTTTATAGCCCCCAATGAATGTGCAGATGAAACTTTGAATTGTGTGAAAATGGGTATGCTATAATTCCCCCCCCCAAAAAAGCCCTAGAATTTTAATTTAATAATGTTTGATTATATGACCAAGAAACATTTATGCTGCTTATGCCTTTTGGCAAACTGTGCATACTTTGGCCTTACTATAATTGATTAATGTTTCCAAATTTGGAAAGTAGCCTTGCCATACTTGAGATAATGAGCTGTATCAGCTGCAAAAAGAAGCACTGGGATTTTTTGATCACCAATGGGGGGTGGGGAGAGAGAGAAGAAAGCTCCTGAACTGTATCGTTTGTGCAAAGTTTAAACAACAAGTGTTAAAATACAACCTTGCTTTACTCTCTAGATAGAAACGTTGGCTGATAGCCCACAAAACCAGTTCAAGTTTTCCCATCATTATTAGAATAGAGTTGCTGTATAAGAAACAATCTAGCAAGGTCTTTCATTTCTGCAACCTCCATTTCCCGAAGTTTTGGAAGATATTACTAAGACACAGCAGTTGAAATAATGTAAACTGGATGACACAAGACCAGCCTTTCGTTTTCTGCAATAAAAAGTGTTTCCCCAAATAGCTGAATTAAGTATAATAAACATGTTAGTGTGGGTGGGTGTCAAATCCACACTTTACCTATTTCGCCATACATTTAAAAGAATCATAGGTGTACACATTTGAAACATAATGGTGAAACGGCCTTTATCCTGTCACAGCAGGAAGCAGTCATTTGCTATTTTAAATGCATCTATTTTCTGCACACCTACTTCTAGTGTATAGTGAATATATCTCTTCTGAGCTGTCTGCAACGCTGTCCCTTCACAATGAGGATGAGGCCCAGTCCTGGAAAGGGCCACACCCTTTTAGTAGGTTATTGAGGGTTTTGCAATTTTATTGGCAACAGAAATTGCTCGGCCATTTACTGAAACACATGGAATTGCTGATTTGCAACATACTAGCCATCTCCGTATAGTTAAAGCCATGGTCTTCCCAGTAGTGATGTATGGAAGTGAGAGCTGGACCATAAAGAAGGCTGATCGCCGAAGAATTGATGCTTTTGAATTATGGTGCTGGAGAAGACTCTTGAGAGTCCCATGGATGGCAAGAAGATCAAATGCATCCATTCTTAAGGAAATCAGACCTGAGTGCTCATTGGAAGGACAGAGCTGAGGCTCCAGTACTTTGGCCACCTCATGAGAAGAGAAGACTCCCTGGAGAAGACACTGATGCTGGGAAAGATGGAGGGCACAAGGAGAAGGGGGCGACAGAGGACGAGATGGTTGGATAGTGTTTTCGAGGTTACCAGCATGAGTTTGACCAAACTGCGGGAGGTAGTGGAGGACAGAGGTGCCTGGCGTGCTCTGGTCCATGGGGTCACGAAGAGTCGGACACGACTAAACGACTAAACAACAACAG